AAGTATTTCTGCCTGTTCTCTCACCCCACTGAGATTGCTTATTTCCCAAAATGGGCTTATGAGAATTAGAGGGCCATGTGTGGGGAAAAACTGAATCCATACCAAATAAAGTACGGATGGATCAGCATTTAAATGTAAGAAATAAAACTATAAATGACCAGAAGATACAATATTTTTATAATTTTAGAGTGGCTGCTGGGTCTTTAATATTCATCTTTATTAATTTAAACATAAAAGCACGTATGAGGTGGGAGTGGCCGGGAGGTAAGAGACACCTTTCTTGTAATTACCTCACAGTACAAAATAAGTGAGGTAGCTTACTTATCCTGGACCTCACCTCTGGTGTGATGTGATGAAAGCTGGGTCAATGCCCTACAAGAGTAAAACACAGTGAGTAGGCCATAGTGTGTTTTCCTCATTTACAGATAGGAGAGGAGAGACAGCCATCCTCCCCTCCTGAAATGAGAGAGGGAGAAAAAATCTTTTGCTTCTTTCAGAGGGTGTGGAAAGAGTCCTGAGCTTTCACTCTAATCTTTGGAATGTAAATATGTCTTTCCAAGGACAACAGAACCTGTGGGTATCTCCAGCTTTTAGGACCTAGAGATGTGTCCCAACTTTGGGATTCATCCCTTTTAAAATGCAATTACCTAGGGAAAGAGAGTTCCCATTTTTCTGACGTTTGAGGCCTAACCTGGAGACATAGTCCAGGTTACAACTATTTAGTCTTCTTGCATTAGACCAATTAACTAGACAAATGGTTACAGATCTAATTCTGATGGTATGTGCAGAGTAAAGTCTTTCTAGGGGAAGTGAAAATAAACATTCTCTTCGATCATATGCAATTCTGCGTCTCAGGAGGCTTAGGACTTTTCACAGGAGCACTGAGAAATCCAGGGAAATTGTATTTCCTCATAATGGAGAATATCTTTCTAGACAGAACATAAAGGCCAGAAAGGCCTTACCGTGGCCTGAAAGGATCTGTGATCTGGCCTCCTATCACCTCTTTGACCTCTTCTCTGGCACCTTGCTTCTTGGCTCCTGCTGACCTCCTGCTCATTCTAGAAAAGGCCAAGGACTTTGCATTTGCAGTTCCCTCTGCCTGGAATGAGTCCTCTTCAGAGAGCCACAGGGCTCTTCCTCATCTTCAAGTCACTGGCTAAATGTCTCTCATTTACGCTGTCCTCTTTCACCACTGTGTTTTAAAATAGGCAGCTTCACTCCTCCCCAATATATTTTACTCTTTCATTGTTTATCTTCCCACTTGAGAATGTCAGCTCTCTGACAGACAGATTTCAGAAACATAAATGCATTAAGAAAGGACTGGAAGGATATATGTCAAACTATAGTTTTCTTTGGCTGGTGAGATTTCTGAGGACTCCTGTTTTGTTTTGTTCTTTTCCTTGATCTTTTCTGTACTATTTCATTGTCTATAGTGAACATTATAAAGATCATAAATGTTTTAGATACAAAAAGTAAGCAAAACTTCCCCTTATGTAATTTATTATCCTTATGTTTTCACTCAAAATACTTTATATGTAGAGAAAAATGGGGAAATTATGAAAAAGTTTCCTGGGACTTGACCTTCTTGAATGCTTTAATAAATTTGATACCCACAAACACCACCACCAGTTTACTAATGAAAAACTCAATTAAAAATGCAATTAGAACACATACCCTCTGCAATGTTCTACTTTCCTTACTCAATTCTTTCTTCTCTTTTTAGAATGGAAGACTACATGGGACTTTCTTATAATTAAAAAGATCAATATTTTTTCATGTTTCAGGTTAGGAACTAAGTGCAAGAAAAATCAATGAGCAGTTATTCATTGAGTATCTACGATGTGAGCAGCCATAGAGGAAAAGTCCTGCCCTCAAGAAGTTTAAAGCCACATGGGTTATAATATAGAAAAGCCTGAAAATGAAATTACCAGGCTAGACAGTGAATACCAAGTGACATGGGGATATCAGGCCAGTCTGTACAATCCCATTTCTCCCTCCCACCCTCATACCAAAAGGAACCTGGATTGCAAAGCAGCTAAAGTGATGTAAGGGCATCTGACCCACTACTCAAAGGTTGAATTAGAACACTGGCCCTCCGGGAAGTGTTCAGAGGTCCAACCAGTGGGGTGTGTGGAATGGCATAAACACCTCTCAGAGATCCAGGCAGAGAAGCAGTGGTGACCAACTTATGTTGCTCTCCCACAAGGCTGAGTTTATGACAGAAATTAGCAAACAAGTTTACTAAGGTTAAGGCGATTTAAATAATGTGGATATGCATAATGTACCAGTGGTAAGATAGAACTGAGTAAACAGGTGTGCAACCAAAATTTCCCATGTTTTACTAGACTATGCTATAAAAGACATGAATTATGCAATATTCAAATCCCTCTGGCTAATTGTCCACACTGCCTGATGCAAGGCCCGAAATTCCTGCAAAGTTTCCTCCCCACCAGCCTTTTGGAAGCCTTCAGGAAATGTGTTCAGAGATAAATCTGCTCACCTGGGACCTGCTACCTTTCCAGCATCTGCCAGGTGTGCTCTCAGGAGCTTCTCCATGGTCTCCTGGGTGTCACAGGCTCGGTGATCCTCCTGCCAGGACCCACCATTGGTTCCTGCAGACTGGTTTCAAGGTGGGCACAGCAATCCATAAGTGCCCCCAGTGACCACAGGAGAAGCCCCAAGTCCCACCCTGACTGAAGCAGTCCACTTTTATCTGGCTCATAAGGGGTTTGTTTCTGTGTTGCTGCCATTAAAGAATTCAGACCTCTACCAGTTTGAAGACTTTTTCTCTGGAGCTTCTCTGCCTCTAGGACTCTGCTGTGTTGCAGGGAAAAGTGGGTGAGGGATTAGTTTCCTGCTTGACGTAGAATGTGGTCTCCTGGGGGGAACACTGTGCAGACTCTGAGTCTCAGAAATTGTTTGTTAAACTGATTCCTGCTATCCTGGCTTCCAGCTCCTTTCTCCAGTGATGTCAGGCCTGCGTGGTGGGTAAACTAGGAATAAACGCTCCACCTGTCTGAGGCAGAGTCTTCAGTTGCAAATAACTGAAATCTAGTGTGAGCAGAAAAGGAATTTACTAAGATTAAGGAATTTATTAAGAATATAAGATTTTCCAGGAGGCCAGAAATCAGGCTGGGAGGCTCCCTAGCCAGGCCCCAGAGAAGTGCAGCGGGAACGTCTCTGCTGCCTCTGCTGGGCGTAGACTCATGGATGGTGCTGGGTCTGGGCTGTGTGACTTTGGCCACCCTTCCCTCTGGAAACTCAGTTTATCTGCTGTCATTCTTACCAGAACAGACCCCAGGTGGCACTTGTTTCTCTGCAACACGTGCTTCTGATTCAAACCCTGGTCAGGTGTGTGTAATTGTTGGGGTCTGTGTGACAGTCCAGTGTCCTAGCTGCAAAGGAGGTGGGGAATTCTCCAAATGTAGGAAGTGTGTTTGATTGCACTGAGAAGCCCAGAAAAAGTGGGCCTCAGCTGAGCTCCCAGCCAACAGCAGCATCAACTTGCTGGCTGTGGGATGGAGCTCTCTGGGAAGTGTATTCTCAGATGAATGCCTGGATCCTTCACATTACTAGACTTGCTTGAGTCACTGACTTTGTCTATGCTAGTGTCTTGAACTATTAGCAAGAACAAATAGCAGGCTATAAATTACCCTGAGCTCAGCCTCTCTTCTGATGATTCACAGAAGCCTTCTGTTTCGTTTTGTTTTTCCTTTTCTCAGCATCTTAACTAATGTGAATCTGGCATTGTGTGCTTCCACTTCTGTTCTTATTCCTCTGCTGCCCTCTAGGGGCCCCAAGCCACATTGCCCCATTTAGATCTTCATGTACTAGGCAAAAAACAATTAGCTCTTGTAGCCTGGTAGGAACTATTCTAAACACTTCACATAATACTTACTCCTTTATTCCTGACAGTCCTCTGAGATGGGCCTTACTTTTTGGATCTCTTTAAATATAAGAAAACAGAGATACAATAATCAAGTAACTTGTCCAAGGAGCTACTATGCCAAAGGTAGAATCTGAGCCAAGACAGTCTTGTTCCAGTCTATGGGCTACCCTATTCGCCCTATCCTTCAGTGCGGTGAAGTGGAGCTGCTAAGCATCCATGGGAGACTTGTTTACTTCCAAAAATTTATTTTGTGATGTGGGTTTTTACCTCTGCTCTGTGTTAGGGCCCTAGCTGCCTGACTGTTCTCCTATTGCTAGACTTGTCTCACCACCCACACCAATCTAGTCCTCTACACAGTAACCAGAAGTATCTTTTAAAAAATGATCAGTGAATGCATCTGCTAAAGAATACCTCTTCTTTCCACCTCTGCTCCAAGTAGCAATAATATAAGAACCAGTTTTACCAAGGGGGTAGATTAGTCAGCTAAGCAAATGGTGTTCAAAAATCCTAACACTGAAACTACAATCTAAAATAAATCTATTGGTGTGTGGTTATAACACCTAATAGGCAGCATTTATTTCTGAGTAACTTCACCATCTCACTTATCCTGTGAGGAAGAAAGCACATCTTCTCTATTTTTTTAAGAGAAGAAATCCTACCATATAAAAATAGTGCTATGGTGTGGGGTTGGTATCATTACTTGGACTAGGACTGTGACTCCTGAACCCTAAATGGTTTTCAAAACCTGGATGAGGTATGTGCAGCAGAACCCTTTAAATACAGCCTGAAACAGAAGGCTAACATGCAAAACAAAGATGCTCAAGATGAATGGGGGCAATACATACAGGGATTATGTGCTTGGTCACCTGCAAAGACTTTGGAAGCATGACTGGAAAGCCCTTCCTCTCAGGTTCAGCTTCCAAAACATTCCTGGAAAGCGTATGCAGTGAAGAGTTTTACCAACAATGGAGATGGAGAGTTGAGAAGTTACCAGTTCCAAGTCCATAATCAATATTGTTTCCAACATTTCCCAGTTACTTTCTTTATCTGTGGGCATCCCAGTTTTCTATGTCACGTCAAAGAAAAAGAAACAAGAAATGTCGAAACTCACCTAAGTTACCTCATCCAGGAGGAGCTGCAAACCTGTGGGGCCTCCCAGCCGTGACCTCCAGCTTTGCTCCTCTGCTTTTCCACCCCATGCGGAGCATTAGGAGACTCTGCTGAGGCTTAGGCACGCTGGCTTGGTGGGTGGGAGGCAGGAGAAGGGGTGCAGATGAGGAGGCAGCTATCAAAGGTATGCTCTGGGAGGGGGACTTCTCTGGAATCACAGCTGTCACCTGCTGCCTTGTCAGCTGACAGAGAAAGAAAGGCCCAAAAGTCAAAAGAGGCAGCAAGACACCCATTAAAGTTTTTTAGATCAGGATACTGTTTCCCAAGCTCCTGCCTTTGCAGTCTTCATTGCTAAGAGCAAAACCACTGTTTTTAACTTCAGTGTGAATCTAGATTACTGAGGAGATTCTCTTAGATAAAGACACCCTCATGATTAAGGAAATTATTTTGTTGTTTAAGGACACCTCCAGAGTGATTCTGATACAAGTAGCTCTGATGCAGGCAACACTGGCCTATCAGTTTAGAGAAATAAGAATTTATTAGACAGTATAAACATTATTCCTCTATTACTCTTTTAATATTGGTCATTTGGACTCCTCCCAAGTTTATTTATTTTGATAAAGTATATATAGGCTCGAGACTTGTGGGAAAAGCAAATTACTGTGATCACACTGGCCCTGAGGACTGAACTATTTCCAGATGCATCTGTTCTGACAGACTAAGTAAAGAGGCAGCAAGACACCCATTAAAGTTTTTTAGATCAGGATACTGTTTCCCAAGCTCCTGCCTTTGCAGTCTTCATTGCTAAGAGCAAAACCACTGTTTTTAACTTCAGTGTGAATCTAGATTACTGAGGAGATTCTCTTAGATAAAGACACCCTCATGATTAAGGAAATTATTTTGTTGTTTAAGGACACCTCCAGAGTGATTCTGATACAAGTAGCTCTGATGCAGGCAACACTGGCCTATCAGTTTAGAGAAATAAGAATTTATTAGACAGTATAAACATTATTCCTCTATTACTCTTTTAATATTGGTCATTTGGACTCCTCCCAAGTTTATTTATTTTGATAAAGTATATATAGGCTCGAGACTTGTGGGAAAAGCAAATTACTGTGATCACACTGGCCCTGAGGACTGAACTATTTCCAGATGCATCTGTTCTGACAGACTAAGTAATTTATTCTTGCTCTATTTTGTAAAACACCCCAAATGCATTCATCTGTCATGCCATTTCCCTGTTTTCATTTTCTACCATGAGCTTTGAAAACCTGTAGCTACAAATCTCGTGTCTCTGAGACTGACACTAGGGTTCACTCCCATCTCTGCCTCCAGCATTGGAAGGAAAAGTGGTATCTTTGTGACAATGTAGTTACTCCTCCCTCTGACATCCCTGCTCCATCGTGATATGTATAAAGAAATAACTAAGAGGAAAAACACACATGTTCTGGGATTAAAGGCTGTGAATAAAGTGAAGGCTCCTGTGGCCAGGATTCTCACCTGGCCCTGGTTGGCTAGCTCACTACACACGTGTGGGCAATAGATTGTTATTGACTCTATATAAAGAACTCCACCCAGTGCTCCAGGTGACACGGTGGCACAGCTGCAAGGCTGCAGGAGAGCAAAGCAGAGGCTGGAGTGGGGCAGTGCTGAGGACAGAGACTGGGAGAGCTGTGCAGGTAGAGACTGGCTTGCTGCATGCAGACCTGCTCTGAGTGGATGGGATTTTAGTGACTGACCTGACACCATGGAAATAAAGTTGGGTATAACCCTTTCACCCAAGAACATTCTACTGTCATTTCTTTGGTCACATTGCATCCATAGTGAACTTGCCTGGGGCTGAAACCAATTGGCAAGACAAAAGCACAACAGGTAGGTACTGAAAGTCTCAGAAAAATTGAGAGGTTGAAATGGCTGAAGACAAGGTCACTGCCTTATGAATGCACTGCCATGAGGAATTTCCAAAAGGCTTATGAAGCAATTATTTCTGTTTCCACTAGATTAATGAATCTGCAGCTCATCATAAATGGTACAGCAGAATCATCATGATATGACTTGAGATAGTCTGACCTTTGTGTTCCATATGAGCTAGCCATTGGCTGTGGGGGAGCCGTGAGGGCAGACATTGATCGTGATCTTGTTATCTTGATCAAGTACAGTAGCGGCCAGTTAAGGAATCCAAGAATCAGCTCAAAAATAATCCCTTATGAAATGAGGCATTTCTTCTAGAATTTTGTGCCAGATGTTTAGCAATAACTAATAATAACTAATAACTAATAAATGCTCATATCTTTTTGACTAGTAATTGTACTTCTATGAATGTATCCTAAAACACTGGAAACAAGCCATATGTCCAAAAAAAGGTATTTAAATAAATTGTTACATTCAAAGACCATTAAACAAGAGTGAGAGAAGTCTATATACTAATGAAAAAGTCAGAAGATTCTAGTGGAAAAACAAATAACATATATATAAACTTTACACACACATATGTACATATATTTACTTCATATATAAATAAGTTTTTGTATTTAATTGTGAGATAGAGATTAAACAATTAAACTTTGTTTTCCTCTTCAACAATCATAGCAACCTTTATGAAATAGACTGAGCTTTCCCCACTAAATTGAAAATGTTGTGTCATATATCAAGTCAGCACAGATAACTGAATATTTTTCTGGATGCTATGGATTTGTCCCTTCCTTTAGTAGTGTCACACTCGTCTGACCATAGCACTCTGTAGACAGTTTTAATAGCCATATGCTAAGTATTCATCCCACTTTGCCTTGCTCAATTTTGTTCTTTATAAAAATAAATAGGCAATCTCCTATATTTATTTTCATAGTAATTTACAATTTCATCTTGTTTTTAAACACCAAAAGTATGTCCATGTGATTGAAAGTCCATTAAATATTCATTAGTTTGGGCAGGATTGATAATTTCATAATAGTGTTTTTCTGTCAACTGTTACTCAGTATAATCTTACAGATTTTCTATACTACTGCCTCCACTATTTTGGGGGGTTTTCTCTTTTTGTTTTCTAACTTGTTACTGCTTTTCTAAAGGAAAATATGATCTTCCATTTATTTATTTATTATTTATTTATTTATTTATTTATTTATTTATTTATTTATTTATTTATTTATATCAAGCCACTTAGGTAAACTCTTGTTTGTTCTGATATTTTTTAGTGTTGTTTCGATCCTCCTTTAGCTTTGTTGGAAAATTTTTGTGGTTCCTCTTTGAACCCTGAGCTATGTACAGAAAGGACATAGAAAATGAAAAACCCTCCTACAGTCAAATTCAAATTAGTTTCACTCTTTTTCTTTATTATCAGTGTTCCTAAAGCACCTTCCCAACTCCTGAGGGAAGCAAGGAAATCAATTCACAAGCCTTTGCGACTGGGTCCTCTTGCTCACTGTCCAGGGCATCAAACTCTTTAACTGGAAACCCCTCTGGTCAGCAGAGGACAAAACTCAGCAGCTGGTGCGTGAGGACCCCCGGGCTTGCAAGTCCTCCACGTATCCTACCAGTTGGACAGAAGCTGGGGAAGGAAGGTTTATTTCAATTTTATAAGACTGATTTAATTAGTCAGATTAGGTACTGGGAGGCCACCCCTATACTCCTCACTCCCCAGTATTATCAGGATTATAGTGATTTGATCCTGATGGTCATATATTCTACAAACATCTTCATAAGACAGCAGTCTCTAAATAGGTTTTCGCAAAGAGTGATGTGAATTGATTCAGTAGTTGACTCAACTATTTTGTGAACTAGTTTCAACAGAAGGACTTTGATTTTATTTCCTACATGTTTTATATAAGCTGAAGGAACAAAGGGAAACTTATGAATGGTTTTTAGCCCAGGTAATGAATTAGCATGTGGAGTTTTCTGGGACCCTTCATGACATGTCTCTTCCTAACCCCAGGCCTGAACTTCCTGGTCCTTTGTCCCATCAGCATGCTGTATTCACCATCTATCATTACTGATTCATTCACCTAGATTTCAGTGAGCTGCAAAGAATCACTCCTATAACAATCCTTTCCCTCCAACCAGCAACAAATTGTGTACCGGTGGAGTTATTTTACAAGGATTTAAAACCGTACTGAAGTAAACTCAAATGCCTACCTGAACTTCCTTTTTAAAGAAGAGAAATAGATGATACAGTTTTCTGAAGCCCTTATCACACACAGGTTCCCCCTCTAGGTAAAGTTTCTAGTGATTCAGTCACACTGTTTCTTCAATCACATTGCCTAGAGTTCTGTTGCATCTATTTCTGCTGGGTATACATGTTTCAGCTATTTGTACGTTCTTTTCTCACAAAATAATTCTGACTGTGACTCATGATGGCTATATAAAAACACCTATTTTGTTATTAAGCATTTTAAGCTAATGGTATTTCTTTCCTCTGCTGCCTCAGCAGATGCTGATGGATGGAAACCACCCTTCTTCACGGAGAGATCCTATCGCTCCCAGGCAGTGGGGGTTCTGATGCCTGCTGGCCCAGTGTTTGGGATTATACATTACCCCAGTTTGGGGAAGATATTTTTCTTAATTATTATCAGTATGTGTTGTCATGTTTATTTTTTTCAATTGTAAAAGTAATGTCATTAAGGCATTTTTTTAAAATCAAGAGGATAAAAGCAATGACAGCCCCATTATCCAGACACAGAGATTCTCTACTGTACCATCTCTGCATCTGCATTTAACACTATTAGTTAAAAAACTAGTACTTATATCAGCAAAACAATACCTCAGCATTGTTTTATTTTGTGTTTCTATTTGTAATAGTGAATGTCTTGTTTATTGATTCACTATAATCAATAAAAACAGTTGTTTTTAGTTTCCCTGTTGTATTTAGATAATTTTGTATTTATTCCTACTTCCCCATTTTTATTTTCTGTGGAGTTGCTGATCAAGTAATACAAGCTCATAATACAGTAAAGGTATTAATGCTTTTAATACTTTTTGAAGTCATTTCCACAATTTGATACTAGTCTCAAATCTTTAGAGTTTACATATTGCTGTTTTATATTTTCATATAACATAATCTTTAATTTTCTCCCTTATGTATTTTATCATTTCTTAGCTTAGTAAATACTTTTACCACTATATATTTGATATTCATTTTCCTTCTTTTTTTTTCAACTAACTTCTGTTGTTTTTCATGTTTACTTCCTTAATTTATCTAAAATTTATTTTGGTGTGTGAAATGAAGTGAGGCTCTAAATAGATTTTTTTC